GCGTGCGCAGGCGCGCCAGGGCGGAGGCCGCCGTGAGCAGCGTCGTCACGCGCCGTGAAGGGTACTGGGCGGTCGGAGGCCCGGGACTGGAGTAGTGAAGGCTGCCTTCCCTACACTCACGCGGTCACGTGTTTGGCACCCAGGCGGAAGTTTCTGACAGCCCTTTGCCTACGAGGGATTTTGAACGCATTGCTGGACGAGGCCCGAGTTCTAGTGACCCCGAGTTCAGAGCTAATTGGACCGCCTCCTCAGACGTTTCAGGGTTGTCCCTCGCTTTCGGAGCTAGGAAATGTGGCAGTGGCAGTGGCGGATGCCTCGGTATTAATGGCCACGAAGGAGGGCCGGTCACGTGGCGCGGCTTCCGCCCCCCTGGCGCGCTCGTACTCGGAACTGAATTTTGAATGCGGAGTCATCTCTGGATTCGTGAGCTCGGATTTCGAGCATCCTTTCGTGCGCGCCTCTACCAGAGGCTGGGCCTTTAGCACGTGGAATTCTGTATGTGTTTTAAAAGGGGATGAAAGCCGACTTGGGCCGGCTGTCCCCACATTCTAGAATCAGAAACCCCAGGAGCCGTCTGTTGTCTCTACAAGAGTCCCGCTAGGAAGTTTCTGGACTTAAGTGCCGCAAAGGGTCGGACTCTACTATCCCAGGTACTTTAAATGACTTCTTACGGTGGTGGAAATGCCATTTAAAAAAAAAAAAAACTGGATGATGACAGTACAACTTTCCTTGTTGTTTTTTAAATCCTATTTCCAAACTACTGTGACTCCTCATGGCGAGCGTATAATGGCCAACCACATCTAAAATACATATCCTCCACCCGCCAACTCACATGGTCTCTTGCTGCTAGGAGTAGGCAGTTTGTCCATATCTTGGGGTGCAATTCCATAGGCATTTGACCTCCGCCACTCAAGTGAATCCTTCCTTTGTATCACCATTTCGTTGCAGAACAGAGAATGTTCTGTTTAGAAGGCAGAATTCACAATACCTGATTTTTCCATTCTAGGAATTTCGAGAGAGACAAGGAATGCAATCAGGAAGCCTGAGGGAGTTTATACTCAAAAGACAAAGCAAAGAGGCTGGAGTTGTAGCTCAGTGGGTAGAGCCTTGCCTAGCACATGTGAGACCCTGGGTTCGATCCTTAGCACCACATAAAAATAAATGAATAAAATAAAGGTATTGTATCCATCTACATCTAAAAAAAAAACAACCTTAAAAAAAGACAAAGCTAAACAAAGTTTTGTGCCAGTGAAATCAGATTTGAGGACTATCAAAGACATCCTACCAGAGAGGAAAAGATGTAGCCTACCAGGAACTCAAGGGAATAGTACTAATACTCAGAAAATGGAAGATAGTAAATAAGGTTGTGAATGGATGAAGAGAATGTCTATTAACTTCAAGACTTCTTTTAACACCAACTAAACATTTGCACGCAGTTCTCTGCAGAGTTGCCTGGTCTGTAGCACTTAAAGAAAAAAAAGTTCACAGGAAATCAGTGTTCATTGTATATGAAGTTATAATTCTATCAGAAATTATAATATTCAGATGATAGCCTAAAAAATGAACAGTAGCATTCCTGGCAAGTCTTACTGAAAGGAAAGTGAGGAACCTGAGACAGGTAAGCAAGAAATGAAAGAGGAAGACCAGGCAGAGATCCATACACACAAGAGTTTATTTGTCAGAGCTGACAAATAAAGGCCATCTCTCCATAGACAGAGAGTGGCAAAAAGGGCTTGGGATTTGGGACTTCTATGGGGGCAGGCTCAGGGATTGGGGTGTGTGTGTGTGTGTGTGTGTGTGTGTGTGTGTGTGAAGGGTTGGGTTGGTATGAAGGAGTGGTGAGACTTTCTCAGAAATGCTCTTGGGTGGGGAAAGCAGAATTTTTCTTAAAATGGCAGCTGTCACTTAATAGGGCCATCCAGATGCTAAACAAGGAGGTTACACTTACTACATATTATTTTAAGAGGACTTTTGGTTTCCTCTTTATGTACATATTACCAAGTGTTCACACATGGAGTCCCTAACCTTCCACTCATTTTTTCTTCCTTCCCATTTGCAGTCTGGTGTTTTTGCCATCAATTAAATTTAAGAACAGTACAAACAGGACATGGAAGTAAATCTGTGAAATTTGTTTTCTTCAAAAATCTTCTATACAGAAATTGACGAGATGTATGTTCTATTGGGTCTGATTTATGAATAATGGAGTGAGGATAAAAGACCTCTTTAAAACTTTCAGACTTCCTGTATACCGAGTCTGTGTCTTTTTACACCTTTTAGATTGCAACAATGCCTAAGCACTTTATTAAAATTTACCCAAATTTCTTTCTTTTTCCAGCCCATGAACCTGACATCTGGTAATCATCATGGATTTCATTCCAATTTATTGGTTTTCCAATTCTTCCTTTAGCTGCAATATACCTTCAGTCACAATATGCCGCAGTCTGTCTGGGCACAAAATAACCGAGCCGCCACAAAGCCTTGTAGGTTCAAACAGTAACTCTTTATTCCTGAACTCTCACTGGCCCTCTACACACACTTCCCGGGAACACATTCCCTCCACAGGGCTCTGCTCGCCAATTCTCCTGGAACCCTGCAAGAACTCAAGAGGAACTCCAAAGTAGTGGGCCCCAGGCAGGAGGATCCGCCCTAATCCTAGAGCCGCCCTATGCCCCTGGAGGATCCGCCCAAATCCCCCGGAACCGCCCTAATCACAGAGCAGGGTCACCTTTCAACCATTTGCTCTAGCAAAATGCCAGGCATCATTCCGACTAAACTGTGGCTCTCAACAACAATACATATGTGCCAATTTAGTTTCAGAAAGTGATATTTTCTACTGAGGTATCAAAATTGTGGGCCTAAATCTATGGAAGCTACAGTCCTTTGTTTTACAAAACTGAAAATTTTTAAGCAGGAAAATGTTCCTATATACTAGATTTAGGGCTGGGGTTGTGTTTCAGTGGTAGAGCGCTTGCCTAGCATGTGTGAGGCACTATGTTGGATCCTCAGCACCACACACACAAAAAAAGTTTTTCTTTTTTTTTAAAGGACTAGATTTAGTGTCATATTTAAATATCTGAACTTTTATCTGAACTTCTAATTCTTTGCTCCCAAAAGCTTGAGTAACATAATTTCAATAGCTATTTATATAAAGTATACTAGATTTCCAAAATACAAACTCATATTTTGTGGCAGCCATGTATAGACAGATATATTATAATGCTTTTTTCTTTGTGATGAATCTTTTTTCCTATCTTCAAAATGTTTTATTTGGGAAGATAAAAAGTTAACTCCTCTCTTTTATATATGTTAATACACTCTCTAGACACTGGATAGCTACAAAAGAAAACAATCAATATATAAATTGTGATGTATGCTAAACAAAATGATACCAAACCTTGGTGTCCAGGCATTTAAATATTTTACTGTTCAAATGAATATTTTAGCAATAATACCAAGAAAAAAGTCAAAAATGGCTGATCATGGAAAGAGGCTTAAACTAAAACCTTGTAACATTCCTTTACCTCCATTTTCTTAAATAATAAAACAATAATCTAATATATTTAGGCATCACACAGCTCTCACATACCCAGCAACTATACTTTAGGAGAATATAAGAGTGAAAAAGCTTTCCTTTTCACCTACTACTAATCATAATAAAAGTTCCTATTAAAAAATATAGTGCACAATTGCAGCATTCTTTTCAGTTTTGGGGAGTCGGCGGGGGTCGGTACCAGGGATTGAGCCACTTAATCACAGCCACATCCCCAGCCATTTTTATTTTTTATTTTTTTGAGATGATCTCACTATGATGCTTTGGGCTGATTTTGAACTTGTGATCCTCCTCCCTCAGCCTTCTGAGTCGATGGGATTACAGGCACATGACACCACACCCAGCTCAATAGGACTCATTTAGGTTATTAAAACTAGGCTGCTGTTTTTCAGTCTTACCAAAATAATTTTAATGTATTTAAATTGCATCTGTTTGTTTGGTTGCAGGATTTTGTTTTGTTTTGTTTTAGTTTTTTGCTAAAAAAAAAGAAAAATTTTCACATGCAATAATTTTTGGTATGGTATATGAAAGACAAAATTGTGGCCTCCACAAATTACTTCTATACATGTGCTATGATTTGCTTATAGTTTGGCCCCTAAGGTTTCAAGTATAGAAAGGAAACTTTGTTCTTAGCGTGGTAATGTGGAGCTTCGAAGAGATTGGGCCTACATGCAAGGCAATTTTTCACTGGGGCCACCATCATTAGAAGAGATTGATACTGGAACCAGTCATGGTTTGTGCACTTGTAATCCGAACTCAGGAGGCTGAAGCAGGAGGATCTTAAGTTCAAACCCAGCCTCAGCAACTCAGCAAGGCCAAGCAATTTAGCGAGACCTTGTCTCAAAACAAAAAATAAAAAGGGCTGGGGATATTGCTCAGTGGTAAAATTCCCCTGAGTTAAATCTGCAGTACCTGAGGTGGGGGAAAATGTAGAGATTGATACTGGTCTGGCACAGAGTGAGTTGTTCTCCTAAAAGTGAGTTGTTATAAAGGAGAAAGACTGGCTCTTCTCTAGTCTCTGGCTTCTTGTCTTGCCATGTGTTCACCCCTTCTGGTATGTACTCCCACGACACCTTCACCACGGCAGAACAAATGAGGCCAACCAAGCATGGACTTTCAGTGTATGAAACAGCTAAACAGACCTCTTTTCTTTACACATTTCCAACTGCATGTATTTTATTATAGCAACAGAAAATGGATTCATTAATACTATATGTGAGGGCTGGGGATGTGGCTCAAGCGGTATCGCGCTCGCCTGGCATGCGTGCGGCCCGGGTTCGATCCTCAGCACCACATACCAACAAAGATGTTGTGTCCGCCGAGAACTAAAAAAAAATAAATAAATATTAAAAATTCTCTCTCTCACTCTCTCTTAAAAAAAATACTATATGTGAGGAGGAAATCTTAAAAATTTTTAGTATTCTCTTCCTCTCTTATAATTCAAAACTGCTACTTAATATCTAAAAACAACAACCAATTGTAGTTCTCATATATCCCAATATATATAAGCAGCTTGGTGGCTTAGAAACATAATTTAGCATGGAGTTTTGGTAGAATAGGACTTGACTTTGCCACTAATTTATTGTATTGTTGTCTGCTGTAACTAATCTTCTCTGTTCAGTAAGATGGAATTATAATCATCAACCTATGATTGTTGAGAAGATCAAAAATACTTGAAAGTGCTTCGACAAGTACTCAGTGGATGTTTTTATTAGTAATGATACATGTATAACAAGTACACCAATATCAGCAAAGCAGAGGAAAGATCTTTTTAACTCACTTTATAGGAACACTTCCATTTGGTGATGCCAGTAGTTAGTGACTAATTTATGCAGTAATTGGGCAAATTTTTATACCTTAGGTCATGAGTATGCAGCATAATTTTTGCATGTAAATATAATAATTATATGCTGCCATGAGCTTTGACTCCTTGAACTGAAAGCTAGCTTATTGTTGGAATTTATCAAGCTAGTTAGTTATACATGTTCCCTACTATATCTAACAAAAATTATATATGAATTTATCCATTAATTCAGTAATGCCATTCCTAGAACTCCATTGTGATACTGCTTATAACATCAAAAAAAGAAAAAAAAGATTTCACATAAAGAGATTATATGTCCATGTCCCACATGTTCACATAAGGAAATAGGCTGAATAAAAACTATGGTACATGTACACAAGAGAGTTCGAGACAACTGCAACAAAAGTGAGGATTCTCTCTCTGGACTACTGTGCAATGGTCTTTGGGGTATAGTGTTACGTTAAAAAAAGAAAAAGAAAAGCAAGGTAGAAAAAAGTGTTCCTTGTATGTCATCATTTAAGAAAAGAAGAAATATATAAATGTGCATATTAAGCTTGCTTAGATTTTAAAAAGAAACCATAGTTTAAAC